TATGTGTTTCCTACAATAACCACTGAAAATAGTTAATGATTATTCAATTGGTCGCTCATGTATAGCTCTATTTATTTTCTTTAGAAGTCACTTTGAAGATACCAAAGTATAGTGCAACAACTATTGATAATCTCCTACCCCTTTGTCTGTAACTCACTATTATTTGTCTATTTGTTTTCCTGAGAAACTATCTTGTAGATAACAATATGTAAAACAGTAACCATTGATAATTTCCTACCACTTTGTCTGTAATTTGGTAAGCCCCACCCATTATTATGTTATCCTTCTTTTACTCTTTAAAGTTAAAAATTTTTAAAAAAAAGAGTACCCTAAAGGGGAGTGTAGCCTGGATAAGATATGAGACAGAAAGAGGGCTGCAGTCGCTCAATGCTTGTTGCTTGCTGCTTATTTGCTGCCTTCTGCCTGCCAAGAACTGTTTCTCCTCTGTGATGCCCCTCTGCCGTGCCACCCTGCCTTGGAGCCAGCCAACTATGAACTGAAACCTCTACAAACTGTGAGCTAAACAAACCTTCCCTCCTTTAACTTCAGGTAGCAGGCATTTTGTCTCAGGATCAAGAAAAGTAACTAAGACATGTACCTTTCTTCCTTTGCTACCAAATAATTTCAGTAAAGTAACTTTTACTTAGAAAACTGAGTCACAGATAATTGCAAAAAGTTCATTCCACTAATAACAATAGTTAATTGATATACCTTCCTTCATTTGAAAAATAAGATAGTTCTATGAATTAATCAGAAAGCAACTATTCGAGGGGCTGGGGATTTACCTCAGTGGCACAGCACCTGCCTGGCAAGTGCAAGGACATGAGTTCAATTCCCAGTACCAGAAGAAAAACAAAAGAAAAACAAAAACAAAAACAAAAAACAAAAGAAAGCAACTATTCAGAGATGGATAAATGATTGATATTTGCTATCAGATGTTCATTAAACAAATTAATTTTCTTTTTTGCCTAATATAAACATTTAATGCTATAAAGTTCTTTGTAAGCACTTCTTTCACTATATCTTATACACTTTGGCATACTAATGCTCATTTTCATGGCTCAAAATATTTTCTAATTTCCCTTGAAACTTTTTTGACCCATAGATTAAAAGTATATTGTGTATTGGGGATTTTCCAGATTTTTATACTTAATTTTAAATTTATTGCCAGAGATCATCTTTTGTTATGTCTATTTTTAATTTGCTAAGATTTATCTTATGACCTAGGATATTGTCTACAGTGGAGTACATTCCATGTGTACTTGAGAACCGGATTTTACTGTTGTTGGGTAGAATGTGCTATAAGTATTAGTTCAGTCCCACGATCGATGGTATTATTCAGTTCTTCTATAGTGTTCCACAACCACGTGGTCCCAGTGTATGGAAGCAGTCCTCAGGCACCAGGACACCAAAGAGAGAGACAGACAGATCCAGGGTTGCACCAAAAGATCCAGGATTGCAATTTATTGGGAACTTAACTCAGAGAACATGGTGCTGGATGGCCAGGTGGTCCTGAGAGATTTAGGTCAGAGGAAGAGTACACAATGCTCCGAGAAAAATGACCTCATCCAAGCTGGAATGTACCTGATTTATCTCAAGTTCATATCAGAACTTTAGGCACATTCCTGGTTCTGTGGACACCAAGGTTGAAGAGTGAAGTTCCATATACCACATTAATAGATTTATTTATTAAAAAAACTATTTTTGGTACCAGGAATCAAACTCAGGACCTTGTGCTTGCCAGGCAGGCACTGTGCCCTTGAGCTATATCCTCCACTAACAGATTTATTTATACTGTGCTGGAAAATAATGAGGTAGAATCCAAGCAGGGTTACCCAGGGGCAGTCATGGATGTTACAACTCAAGAGGGTTAGTAATATCAAGGTGAATCCTTACATACAGCCTTGCTAATTTTCTGCTGGTGGTTCTTCTGATGATTGAGAAAGGACAGAAGTCTCCTGCTATAATGATAGAATCGTCTATTTCTCTGATCATGTCTATCAGTTTTTGTTTCATGTATTCTGAAGCTTTCTTGTTACATACAGCTTGAAGGTGTTGATTCTTAAACAACACTGGGATTCTTCTCTTGAGCTATCTCTGTTTCTCAGTCTCTGAGGCTCACTCTGGCTTCTGGGACCTCTTCCTAGTCCTCTGGCTAGAGCACAAGGGCTGGAGTCTCCCTTCCCTGTCCACATATTTCTTGTGTCGGGATTTGCTTCTGGAGTCATGAGGCAAGAAAAAAGAGGAGAAAAATATAACTGGAATTTCTCTCATGTTCTTTGGGCCGTAATTCTTCCAGTCAGAAAGAATTCCTTTATCTCAAGGTTTTAGATGCCTCCCATCAGCTGTTATCATGATCACTTAGCCTTCAAACTGCACTTTCAAGATTGGAGGTCATCTAGTAGCTGAGGTAAGAGAAAAAGAAAAAAGCAAAACAAGCTAGATGTGGTGGTGCACTCCTATAATCCTAGGCACTTGGGAAGCTGAGGCAGAAAGATCACAAGTTCAAGGCCAGCCTAGGTAACTTAGACCCTCTCTCATAAAAAGAGCTGTAGTTTGTAGTTCAGTGCTCCTTGGGTTCAATCCCTAGTTCCATGAGGGGAAAAGAAGGAGGGGGAGGAAGAGGTGAACAAAAAGTACACATATATCAGGGATTTCTTCTACTCTCTGGCTTATTTGAGCCTGCCTTCTCTCTTCTCGACGAGAAAAAGGCTTCTCTTGGAGTCCCTGTCCACACCTAGTGCACAGTTCCAAGATTCATGTTGTTGGAAAACCAGGCTGAATGATTAAAAAGAAAAAAAATGAAACTCACCACTGGTGAGTTCTGCTTTTCTACCTTGAGTTCTGGTTTATTTCCCCTCCTGCCTGTTCTCTCATACTTTCAAGAGTCCTATGAAAGTGTCTCCATGCAGCCTTTCCAGTTTTTAATTATATTCTGGAGAGACAGAAGTGTGTACTTACTCCATCTTCACTGAAATAAGAACAAGCTTATACTGAATGTTAATGAAGTATACATTCTAATTAAAAGACAGTTTGTCAAGGTTGCTAAAAACAAAACAAGACCCACTATATTCTTTCTATAATGAATATACTTTTAAGACACTGATACTTCGAAAGTAAATGGATAGGTAAATATATATTATGTAAACAGTAAGCAGAAGAAGTCTGGGCTAAAACTGATCTGAAGACAAAGAGTAATATCAATGAGAAGGAATACTTCGGAAAGATAAAAAGGTTAATTTAGCTGGGGGTGGGGGCACATGCCGGTAACCCCAGCACTCTGTGTGGTTGGAGGATTTCAAGCTGACCCTAGTCTGACCAATTTAGTGACTTATACTGTATCTCAAGTTTTTTTTTAAAGGTCAAGGTCAATTTATCAGAAATATAATAATTATAAAAGTGTATGTACCTAAAAACAGAGTTTAAAAATATATGAAGCAAAAATTGACGAAATTAAAGGGAAAAATAGTCAATTCCATCATCATAAATTAGAGATTTCTACATTCTTTTCTCAATAATATATAGGATAAGAAAAAGAATCAGTGAAGCTGGGTGTGGTGGCACACACTTGTAATCCCAGCACTTGGGAGGCTGAGGCAGGAGGATCATTGTGAGTTTCAGACCAGCCTGGGCTACAAAGTGAGCTCAAGACCAGCCTGATCTGCATGGCAAGACCCTGCCTCAGAAAGACAAAAAGAAATAAGTCAGTAAAGAAATGGGTCAAAAACACTATCTTGACCCAGTTGATACAAAACAGTAAATTTAAAATATATATTCTTACACTAAGACCATATGCTAGAATATAACATATAGCTCAATACATTTAAAAAGCCTGAAATCCTAGAGTCTCTTCTTTGATTTCAGTGGATTTTTTTTTTTTTTTTTTTTTTTTTTTTTTTAGGTACTGGTACCGGGAACCGAACTCACGACCTTGCACTTGCCAGGCAGGCGCTTTTGCTGCTCAGCTAAATCCCCAGCCCCATTCAGTGGAATTAAATTAGAAATAAATAACAATAGGATATCTAGGGAGCTCAAAATTAATAACAATAAATAACAATAAATAATTAATAACAATAACAATAAATAATAAATAAATAACAATAGGATATCTAGGGAGCTTCAAAATTAACACATTTTAAAAATAATCCATGAGTCAGGGAAGAAATCATAAAGAAAATTAAAAACTGAATGACATTTCAAACTGAATGATAACAAGAGATTAATAATATTCCCTATATATCAAGTAAAAGTAGATTAAAATTATAGAATATAAATAGTACTGACCTATCTTTTATTTTTAAATCAATAATATATCTACATACATTAAAATATGGTTACAGAAAAAGAATTTGAAGAGATGAAAATTACAACATCTAAAATGAAAATGTCACTCAAGATAACAGCAGATTAGATAATGCAGATCAGTAAACTTAATGATGTGACAGTAGAGACACAGTAGACATAGAAAGCCATATAATTAAATGTTTTCAATGGCAATTATATGTAGATTTATTATAGCATATTTTTCATTTGGACAGGAAATCTGAGTAAAACCTGAGTATGTATCATAGTAGATATTTACATAGAGAGACTAGAAATACAAATATGCTTTGTCTTAACTAGTTCTAGATGTAACTTTTATAAGAAAATAACCAAAAGGAATACTCTCAAAAGATAAATAAGAGTAGCAGGAATATTCAAAGAAACCCGCCTCCATATCCCAATGAATTCTGAGAAGAAAAGTAATCCCAATTTTTTCTAAAGAATTTTAAAGTATCTGGGGGTTGAAATCTGAACTTGACTGTCACAGAAAATTATATACTTCACAACTGTATAATGCTTCACATATCTCAAAAATTAGCTCACAATAACACAATGCTTTCAGTTTTAATAAAACTATATATTTACTAAGTATAATTTCTCAAAACATATTTTATTACCCCTACATTATAACTCACAAAATGTACTTCGTCATTCTGGTATTTGAATGCTAAAATTACCTTTGTGTTTATTTAGAAGCTTGTAGCCTTCACAGTATCTGCCTGGTGAAGTCAGCATTGTGGCGGTATCAAGGCAAGAGTATGTTCCCGCAAAGTCAAACTCCTTTTTCCCATCCCACCAACCGCGCTGTTTAGCATAGCTCCTCAGGTCTGGGTGCTCCCGATCAATCTTGGTTGTTATAGAGAGCTGATTAGAAATATTACGAACGCCCTCTGTTTTCAAAGAAAGAAAGGACAGAAGAATGGAAGTTACATTTAACATAAAATATCTACCTACATAGTATGGCTCTTAATAGCTATATAAATGCAATTTTAGACCTTGAAATTTTGTGTGCCTCTATTACATTTTCTAAAAGATCTATTAATTTTTAAAATTAAACTTTTTGAGAAAATTGTACATAATAATGCAGTTAGTTATAAGAATTAATCCAGAGAGATATTAAGCGCGCTTTACTCAGATTCCCCCAATAATCACATCTTGCAAAACTATAGTATAATAACAAGAGCAGAATACTGGTATTGACAAAGTCAAGAAAGAAAATGCTAGCTGGGTGCAGTGGCTCACGCCTATAATCCCAGCACTTGGGAGGCTGAGGCAGGAGGATTATTGTAAGTTCAAGGCCAGCCTGGGCTACAAAATGAGTTCAGGGCCAGCCTGAACTACATAGCAAAACCATCTCAAAAAGACAAAAGAAAAAAGAAAAAAAAAAGACGAAAGAAAGAAAATACTTTTACTATCAAAACTCCCTCATGTTGTTGTTTTATGGCCAAATCCACTTATCTTCAATCCCCTTTAATCACTCATTAACTCCAGGACATCTAAGCTATTTCCATTTTTAAGTCATCACATAAAAATGCAAATAAATATTTGTGAATGGGTTTTTGTGTAATGTTAAATTTTTGTTTCTCTGGGATAAATGCACACGAATGCAATTGCTGGATTAGTTACATGTTTAGTTTTTTAAAATACTGCCAAAGTGTTTTCCAGAGTAGCTGGCAGTACATTCTCACATGGAATGATTCAGTTTCCAGATTCTCATCAGGATTTGGTGATATCATTATTTTATTTAGCCATGCTAATAGAGGTATAATGACATCTTACTGTGGATTTCATTTACATTTCCTTAATGACTAATGATGTTGAACATCATTTCCTATATTAATTTAACATCTATACTGTATCCCTTTAAGTGGGAAGTATTTTCATATCTTTTGTCCATTTTCTAATTGGATTATTTACTCTCCACTCCTGGGTGTTCTTCATTTATTTTAGATATTACTCTTTCCTATGAATTACATTAAAAATAATCATAAGTTTAGAACAGCAATAGAACTCTGCAAAACATATTGTAGACTAAGTTACAAACAAGACTTTCAATTAATGTATGAAACAGAAAAAACAATGGAATTTCAATAATATATAATTCTCAATAGTTTAACAACTTAGTTCTTTTTTAAATTAATGTATATATTTAGGATTATGCTTGGGACTTCCCAGAAGATGACAGACTGGTGAACAACAGAGAAACAGCCTCACCAAGAATTGGTGCCTAGATGCTAGAATATAGCAATGTGAGAAAAAGAAGAAGGAGGGAAGTGGATTCCTGGGACCCAGGAAGGATCTGAAGCAAGAACTAAAGCCCATAGGGAGAGTAAAGGGAGAGACCTCAACACGTAAGAAAGAGGTAGTAAGCAGTGCCTTATCCTTGAGACCTGACACTGCATGGAAGGGGCGGCTTGAACCTACAGATGCACAGTGACTACACAAAGGCATTCCAGAAATTCAACACAAGAATAGAATATTAAAAGCTTTTAGAGACAAGAAACAAATCACCTATAAAAGAAAGTCCACCAAAATCACATTAGACTTCTCAACACAAACCCTCAAGAAAAGGAGAGCTTGGAGTGAACTATTTTAAGCCCTAAAAGAAAATAATCTCCAATCCAGATTAATATACCCCACAAAAAACCATCTTTCAAAATTGATGGAGAAATAAGATACTTCCATGACAAAGGACACCAGAGGAAATTCATGAACACCAAACCAGCCCTCCAAAATGTTCTGAAAGATATTTTAGAAAAAGATAACAAGGATTACAATTCCATGAAACCCCAACAGAATGAATCCATCAGGCAAGGCACACAATTAAACAGAAGGGAAAACGGGGAGCCAACAAAAGGAAAATAACATGACAAAGATAAGTCAGTACATATCAGTTACAAACATCAATGTTAATGGTTTTAAATCACCCCCCAAAAAACCAGACTGGCAGAATGGGTCAAGAAGCAAGATCCAACAATATGCTGCATACAAGAAACACATTTAATTCAAAAAGAAATTCATAGACTGAAAGTCAAAAGATGGAAAACAATACTTCATATAACAGGAACCCAGAAAAAAAGCAGGCGTAGCTACTCTATTTGCAGGCAAAGTGGATTTCAAGCCAACACTGATTAAGAGAGACAAAGAAGGTCACTACATCCTTGTAAAGGGAACAATAGAAGAGAAAGAGATAACAATAATAAAAATGTATGCACCAAATACCAGTGCACCCAACTATATAAAACAAATATTAATGGACATGAAAAATCAAATAAACACTAATACAATTGTAGTATTGTAATGTAGAGTGGGGACCTCAATATCCCACTGTCACAAATAGATTAACTAGTTACAAATTCAGGATGGAAAGATTTTAATTCCAAGTCTTTCATTTATTACCTTAAATCACTTTACATCTCTGGTCTTCTCATTTGAAAAATGAGAGTGTTATAGTTTGTGTTTAGATGTCCCCTCAAAGCTTCATGCAGTCAGGGGCCAGGTGTCTAGAGTCTGTGATTGATTCTTGATACAATGCAGGGATTAAGGGTGTGAGTGCTACACCCGCTCTGGGTAGGGGAACCTGCATACAGTACAAGGGAGGGAAAGAGACATGTTGCTGCTGCTTCTCCCTTTTTGCTCTTGCTGCTTTTGCTGTTTTCTGCCACCATGAACTGTTGCCCTCTGCCATGTGCCACTCTGCCTTGGAGCCAGCCAAGTATGGACTAAAACTTCCATGAACTGTGAGCTAAATAAACTTTTCCTTCCTTAATTTTGGGCATCAGGCATTTTGTCCCAGCAACAAAAGAAAAGTAATCAAGACAGAGAGAAATACGTAATCACAAAGAAACGATGGGAAAGAAAAAGCAAAGCATTAAAAAAAGTCAAATTGCCTTGCTATACTCAAAGATGTAAAATTTTACATTTTACTGTTTATCAACATATCCTTTCTAGTACCAACCCAAAGATGCCCAGCCCCAGTCCTGCTCCTCTCTTCTCACTTCCACATTATAATTTTGACATTCAGTCCAAAGTTTAATGAGGGGGGCTGGGGATTTAGCTCAGCGGCAAAAGCGCCTGCCTGGCAAGCGCAAGGTCGTGAGTTCGATTCCTGGTACCGGAGAAAAAACAAACAAAAAAAACAAAAAAAACAAAACAAAACAAAAAAAAAAGTTTAATGAGGAAGAAATGGTAAGAGGTTATTAAAAAGTGAAAAAGCACTGTAAAGCACTCAAAATTTGTGGCACAGAAAGTAGATATCATTTATATAAAATTCATATTCCTAAAAATAATGCTACCCTTCTCAAGAATACTCTTCATAATGCTCTTTCACTGTATATCATTTCTAATGTTTAATTTCCCCCTGTAGTCTATGTTTTATCACACTGGATTATAAATCTTGAAGGACATCCAAATACAATTATCAGCAGTTAAGGGTGTATTTTATTAACTGAATTACAAAAAAATGTCCATACCTTGTACTTTTTCTGCTGCCCAATACTTTCCTGCAGTCTCCAGAATCCAGGCTTCATTTCTATCAGCTAACAGGAAACTGTTGTGATAGCTAAATTCCATGTTATCCTCTGTACAATTTCCACCCTGGCCATATTTTTCTAATAAATCAATAATGACATTGAGAGCTTTTTCAGCTGTATCAGCTCTTTCAAGACCAAGTCTAAAATAAAAATATAAAAATTCTGAGGTTAAAGTAAATTTCCCTTATTTTTCTTAAATAATTTTATGCTATGGATAAGCTCTTTACATTCAGAGTAAAAATTTCTTTCCAGTTAATTTAACATATAAAACAAAATCTAACTTTTAAATTGTTCCTCCTTAAGTCAGTTTGAGAGCTGGGCATGATAGTGCATGCCTGTAATCCCAGCACTCAGGAGGCTGAGGCAGGAGGATCACTGTGAGGTTGAGGCCAGCCTGGATATATAAATGAGTTCAAGGCCGTCTGGTACTACATAGGGAGACCCTGTCTCAAAAAAAAAAGGTCTGTTTGGAACCATGAAAACAAAGTAGAGTCAAACAGACCTATGTTCAAGTGCCAACTTGATAAGTTTTTGGCAAGTTACTTTATCTCTGAACCTCATATATATCATTTGCAAAATGAAGATAATAATGTAAACTCTAGGAGTTTACTGTGAAAATCAGTAAACTATGTAATGAAGTTTGTATATTAGTCACTTCCCATCAATCTAATTTGTAACTCCTTCCCTTCTCTCAATCAATACTTTTGTGAGTCATGAAATTGCATACCAGTGCTCTGTAGCACAAAGTACTACAGATGTAGCACATCTGTAGCACAAACTATAAAGTACCACAG